GGTTTTGTTTTGCCCGCCCTGCCGGCTTTTCTTTCTTCTGTGATATCTTATTTTTTTAATCCAAAATAAGGGGGGCCCGGTCCCCCGGGCTCCTTCCCTAGATCCGCCACTGGCATTAAGTTGTTGCATCGTATAAGCGTTAACCCTTTCAGCCTTAGTACTTGCGCTTTGCGCATTAAGCCAAGTTCTCACTAGCGACATAAGCCGACATAATTAGAAGTACGTTATGTCCTTATGTTTGTAGTATCAACATTTTGACAAAATGACATAACGGCATCATAACGACAAGACCATCTCAGCATAAGGGAAAAAAGATCTTTTCCTTATGTCGTTAAGTCGCTAGTGTGATCAAGGCCTTAATATAATGGTCAACATTTGGTCAATTTACAGGTTACCTGATTTTATGGCACCAAAATTGATCATGATTTGAAAAGATAGGCCCACGTAAAAAGCACTTTTTCCTATGTTAATTCTTTATTTTGATGAAACTTTAGGGTTAGGGTTAGACTGACCACTCCTATACTCCTGTCATTCCTAAGAGACACGTCAGTCCATAAAATCGTAACAAAATCGTAAAACTGAGTTAATGCGTGATTTAGTTTTGACAATATTGTACCCAGTGTTAGAGAATATTGCCCTACCATGCAGACTCACAAAATTTATTTAGTCGACGCAAACACTTCCCGTGGGAAACCGGAGCGGCAAATATGAATAGAGTGGTCAGGAATGACGTTTACCGTACAATCCGTGGCAAATGACAAAACTAAAACTTCAAATTTGCCGTTCCTTATAGTCGTTTGTACACTAAAGTGAGTCAGTATAGTTGGTGTTTACTGTGGATGGGAGACCGTTTTTGTACTTTTGGGTATTAGTGGAACACTAAACAAAATCGAAGGCGGTTTTTGCCGTTTGCCATTCTTGAACTTTTTATTATCTGTGAACGGAACAGAGCCGCGTCACTCCTGTTGTTGGCTTGTTTATGGCGGAAAGTTAGGTATCAGTTAGAAGTACGCATATGACAAGATTTTTTTGTTTACTAGAGAGTACAATATTGCTACGTCTTCTAATCAAATCCCTCCAAAAAGAATCCTACGGCGGAGCATGCAAACAACAAAGACCATACGTATACATGTTTCTGTCTGATAACATTACGAGTATGTTTCAAAAAACTGTTCAAATCAGCTGTTGTTTATTGTGGACAATGCGCTTAGCTACAACTAGTTAGTTCTCGGGCATGCCACTTAAAATGAAACAAGAAAACATAAACATAAATTTAAAACATATATCTAATCAAAAAGACAGTAAAAAAACATTCAAATGTCGCATACTCTTTCACGAGATATAATTTTCAGAAACCCCACTATGTGTTTGAAATTCACACGGTATTAACACTGGAGATATGTTTCGGATGAAACATCATCCATCGTCAGCTTCGTGCGGAAAAGAATACCAGAATAGAAAATGAGTAATAAATAGTTTGACTGTGCGTGGTGAAAATAAGAATGATTAAGGATTAAGGCGCGAAACAGAATAAAGTGAAAATAAAAAATAAAATAACACAATCTATTTAGGTAAATAGGTAAATAACACAACTTATTCAGAGAAGGCTTCTCCCAAAGGATGTGCATGGCTTCCTCGATTTTTAATTGGAAGCCGGTGGAAGCTGAGTCAAGAATTTCGAAACATTCTTCTGAACAAAGAGAGCAGATATAGTAAATACTTAGTTCAGTTACCTTTTTCTCCTGGTTTGCTATATTGTTGTGATTGTAGATTTGTCCGCACATCACCATTTTCAATGCATTGCCATTGGTTTTCAAACGAAGTGAAAGTAGATTTCTCCCCGGGACATGTACAACTGCAGTTTGGAGCTCCATTTAAGGCATTGAAGACATTGCATTCATAATCTGAACTTCCGCACAATGAAGTAGGAATCCCGAAGTAGTCTATGCCATTTTGCCAGCCTGAACGTGTTTGCGGTCTTGTTCTATAGATCTGAAAGGCTTCTGATAA